TTTTTTTTTTTGAGTTTATTTGTTTGTATTTCCGCTTGGTGCTGGCTAAAAAACAAAAATCTTTTTTGCGGTTTTTGTTGTTGTTGTTGTTGTGCGCACTGCATGATTGACAGTTGCCAGGGCATTGATGTGGAGGGGAGGGCTTAGAGAGGTGGGGGGACAGCTGGGTTTCAACCTAAATGCATTCAGTGAAAAGTTGTGCGAGTGAGCCTCCAAATAAAAATATTAAAAAATATGCATATGAACGAACGCTTTCTATATGCCTCCTCCTTCCAAGTGGGTTTTTTATACGAATACGAGTATATATATATATATATATACATATCTATATATATTACGCATACGCAATGTAGACAGCAAACAAATGCTGACAAGGGAAAGGGGAGGAGGACTGAGGAGATGCTAGGACTGAGATGGAGCCCTCGGATGGGACTGGGGGCCCTGGCAAGATGGGGTACTGATGGAGGGGCGAATGCTGCTGTGGGGAGACTCGACTCGTAAAATGCAAGCACAGCAGCAGCACGACATTTGAGGGCCAGCCTAAAGGTATGCTATGAAAAAATTGCACAAGAGCAGAATCAGACGAGAGAGAGAGAGAGCGAGATGGGAAAGCAGCAGCAGCCAGCAGAAGAAGCCCCCAAAGCAGGGGGGGGGGGGGGGGGAAGGCTCACACAAAAAAATGAAGGAAAAAAACGCATTTGTTTCAAAATTAAATACTCATGTGTATGTGTGCGCCGACTGTGTGTGTGTGTGAGGGAGAGCGAGAGGGAAAAGAAAGCAACAAGAAAAAGAAAGCAAAAGTTGTTGGTTTTGTGCGTTGATTTTTGTTTTCATTTTTTCTCGACTCTGCTGCCAGTGCCACTCTGCCACTGCCTGTGCCTCGTTATAATCATTTCCACACTGCAGACTGCTGGCCAGAAAGGAAGTTAGAGACAGGGGTAGAAAGAGAGCGCCAGAGAGAGAAAGGGATAGAAAGAAGGGGGAAAAAAAAAGAAAGTGTAAAAGCAAAAGTATTTATTATGCGGCAATGGCTTGGAGAGGCCTAGAAGAGGCTCCCCGGGAATACATCAGAGTCAGAGTCAACGAATTGCATTCCCCCCCACAAACACACACACACACACACACACACACGCACACACACACACCACTGCAGAGGTATGTGTGTGCTTACTGATGAGCAGCACAGCGCGTCAACGCCCGACCCCATACTCGAGGCGGCTGCCACTTTTTTTTTGTGTGTGTTGCCTGCTTTTGGGCTCTTCTCTTTTTTTAGATAAATTTTTATTTGAATTTATGCATGTGCGTCGCGGGTCGGTCTCGTTGGGTGCTAAGGGCTAAGGGCGGGACTGGGGAGAGAAAGAGAGAAAGCAACAGCTTCAGGATAGTGTCAGAGGAGCAGGCCGTTGCACCACACACAACACAGCAAACAATCGCTTTCGTTGCGATAAATATTCAAGCTGGAACATTAATAGTTATCCTTAAACAACATTTTCCTTCGATTCCGGAATTCCCAATCCAAAAACCGCTCTCAGAGCTCAATCAACAAGGTTTTTGCTTGTCTTCCATAAACAAAAGTCCGGCGAATACTCGCATTTCGAAATAGCTATGGAAATCAGAAGCCAATGCAAAAACAACCTCATGTTCGGATGGTAGATATTTGACTAGCTGCCAAAAATAAAAGTGATTGATGCCATGTAAATGGAGTATCCAGTATCCACAATCCAAAATGGAATAGTCTTTTGAAATTATATTCTTTTTCATATACGTTTTGCAGATACCTGTCTGCACACACTGCCACTCGCAGCCGATGGCAATTAACAAAATGAATTGGGAACTATTGAAATGGGAGAGAGCCTCTGTAAATAGAAGCTCGCTCTAACGATGTTTGTGTTTCTTTAATAGAATTAGTTATTTGCCATCGAAGTATTACAATATCCATTACAGATTATCCACGAATAATTTTAGGGGAAGTTTGTGAAGCTCATGGAACACCTGGCTTTCGGACACTATCAATGCTAGAGGAGCTATAGCTCGTCACTTCAGTTCGTTGTGCAACACTGACTTGCATCTCATGACTTGCATTATCTTTCTTGTTCGTTTTGTCTTTTTGGCTTTTCCCTCCGCGTTTTTTTGACAACATTTCCGTAGGCTTGGCCCATCTGGGGCCTGTCATACAGCCTCCTTCCTCTCTGGATCCATCCTCGTCATCGGGCGGGCCCCCACTTGTTGTTCAACTTCGTCAACCGTTGCACCATAGTGCGTTACATATACATACAAACGAATACATATATAAATGTGCTTTTATTTTGCTACTTTTTTCGCTGCGCAGGGCAGCTACTCGTATTCCCTTTTTGCTTTCTTTTTATTCTATTATTTTTTTCTTCATTCCTTTCTTTCTTTCTTTCTTTCTGTGTGTTTATCCCTGTTGACGAAAATTTTTCGTTTTAAAAAGAATGAGTAAAAGGACCTCTCTCGGTCTGAGGTGAGGGCTCTCTGAAGGGGGGAGGGGGGGGGGGTTGGCGGTGGAGCGTCAGCGACAAAAAATGTTATGTGAACATATATATTTGCCGGAAGCTAAATGTTTTCGCCAGTTTTTTTTTGTGTCGCTATGTCAGCGTTTACGTCCCACGTACGTCCCTCAAGCGAAAAGTACTGTTGCGCTCGCCGAAAAGTATGCATTACATTCTGAATTCGAGCCAAAATTAGTGCCACACATGGAGCGGGGTGGTGCAACCAACTCTGAGGAGAGTGTGTGTGTGGGAAGGGAGCATCAGTCGCAGTAGAAGTAGCAGTGAATAAATTGAATATCATATATCCCCCACATACGAGCCATTGACCAACACAATTCTTGTCTTCTTCTGTTGTCGGTAGGGACTTTTTCATTTTCTTTGGTTTTGTTGCGATTTGTTGCATTTCTCTCATCGTTTGATTTGAATATTTGATTTGGTTTGTATTTTATTTTTATTACAGTATCAAATAATAAAATGTACGCGACATGGACAGGGCGGCCGCGGACTATGGGAGGAAACAATTCGAGTGCTGGCGAAGCAAAAATACTCTCCATTTTGGGTAGCAAACACGCCTTTGAGGCGCTTTTCATTCAATTGAATTGAGAAATTCCTATTCCCTGTCCACCAGGGGGTAACACTGCTTGAGGCTAGACCGAGAGGGTCACACTGTTTGGCCATAGATCCATGGGGAAAACACATTTTACGGTTGGAAATATTTTACAATGGGCTCATTTTTTTAAAACTACGACTTTTTCATATATCAAGGCGGTAACATTGGAGGTCTTGGACTGTCATGGGGCAACACTGTTCAACCACATGTAACCACACCTTAGGAAACAACTCTGATCTAAATGTAGAGCATCCACTTATCGAACACGATGTACATTCCATTGACCAGGGAGAGGCGGGCGAGGGGCCTCTCCACCAGCCATATTGAAAATTATAGTGTCGTTAACATGCAACTGCAACAACAGCAACAGCAATGGCAGCAAATAAAAAATTAAATTAAAATAGAAAGGAAAGAAAAAGAGCAGAGAAGAGAAAGGACCTCAAAGAGAGAACATGGCCAGTAAATAAATAATACGAGCAGAAAAAATACATATAACAAGTTTGTGGAGTGGTTCGGGGGAACGGGTTGGGAATTGCGAACGGAAATTGACAGCAATGTGTGTGGCAAGTGGCAAGTGGCAAGTGGCTAGAGGCTAGTGGCAAGCGGCAAGCGGCAAGGTGTTTAGATGTGTCTGTGTGCCGCTGCTGCCCCACAAAACTGGGTGATAAAAAGAGAGTCAACTACAAACTACAATTGAAAAAAAAAAAAACAACAAAAAAGTACAAATAACAAAAATAATAATGAAAATAAACACAAAAGTTCTATCAACTGTGCGAAAACTTATTGCATAGAGTGTTTAGGTGTGTGTTTTGGGTGCGTAAGTGTTGGTGTTTTGTGTTGACTGTACTTGGCTATTGGATAGTATATAGACACATAGATTGAGATACATATATACACATATATACGACAGCAAAATATATATTACATACATATAGATTTGATACAAATAACAAAAATTACATAGAATAGACATTGATCGATAGACATTGAGAGATTGTGTGTGAAAGAGAGAGAGACAGACAGAGATATATATTGAAATATATTGAGAGAGAGAGAGAGAGAGAGCGCTACACATTTAACAAAATAGATATTTACTATATGTATATAGAGCTATGAAACTGAACAACTAACATTTGATATTTGATACTTTTTTGTTTTTTTTTTTAACTGAACAAAAAAAAAAGGTTTGACAAAAAAAATTGAATTATTTAATATATATATATATATATGGGGTATATAGATATAGATAGATATATATATATATATTTATAGGGGGGATATAGTATATGGTATGTATAAAAAATTCATAGACAAAGAACACGACGAAGAGCAAAAATATATGGTTGAGTTTTTTGATTTTGTTTTCTTTTTTTTTAAGATTTTGTATTTTGTTTTTTTTTTTAGTTTTTATATATATAAATATGGTATATAGTTATATATATATATATATATATAGAGAGAGAGAGAGAGTGGTATATATATATATATATATATAAGAACAGACAGAGAGAGAGATAGAGAGAGAGAGCAATACTTAGGTTGGTGGCAATAGAGATGTATAGAGACATGGGTTACATATAGGTACTATATAGAAATGGAGTTCAGATGTCGGCCAGATCGGATTCGAATATTCAGATATATATTGGGCACATATCTGGAGGTTTTTGAATTTGGAATTTCTTTACGGGTGTATTCGGTACTCGACTTGTACGTCCCGACCTATCGAAGCAGCAAAAGCATTCACTGTAGGGGTTCTTGGGTTCTTGGGTTCTTGGGTGGGGGACTGGGCCTCTTTTTGGTATTCTTGGGGTGTTCTCGAATTTGTGGGGGTGGGGAGGGATTGGTATTGTTCTCTTAGTAGTTCTGTGTGCAACACTTACCGATTCGTGGGAGGCGCGGTAGTCGAGGTCGCCGCCCAGGCCGCCGCCCAGGCCGCCGCCAGCTGATGCCGAACGCGGTTGCATGTGTCTACTGTGACTACTGTTATCGTCCTCGCTGCAATCGATTTCTTTCTTCAGGCTCTGCGAAGAAAACACACACAAAACGAGATTGGGATGAAGATCTCTATGAAGATCTTTGATCTGTCCACTCACCAATGGCACCGATTGCACTGGCAAGAGATTGGCCACAGTGCCGGGACTCAGGAGGCTGGAGGTGGCTCTGCCGTCGGGTCCGCCCCCATCGCGTGAACTCCGCGATGCCGGACGCCCGCCAGCCCCCAGACTCAGATCCGAGGCACAGGTCGCACTGCCTCCTCCTCCGCCACCGGCGGGCGTTGAGCGTTGCGATTCCACTGCTGCCACAGCGGCTGCTGCTGCCGCCGCCGCTGCTGCGGCCGAGGATGAGGGCAAGGATATTAGTGGCGAGGGAATCACAGTGGAGCCCGTGGAGAGATCTACACCACCGCCGCCGCCGCCGCCGCCGCCGGCGCCCATCTTCATGTTGAGGCCCATGTCATTGCTGCTGTTGTCCGCCTCATCGTCATCGTCGAGGTCCATCTCATCGTCGTAGTCGTCGTCGATGATCTCGGTCTTGGGTATGGTTGGCAGGGCCGTCTCGTCCTCGTCGTCATCATCCTCGTTGTGGTGGTGGTGCCGCTGGTGGTGGTGCGAATGCTGCTGCTGCTGTTGCTGCTGTTGCTGTTGTTGGTGGTGGTGGTGCGAGTGGTGCTGCGAATGTTGCTGCTGCTGGTGGTGATGGTGGTGGCTCAGCCGTATGCTCTGGTGGGCAATCCTTTGGGCAATATCTCGGGCCACTGCTGCCGCGGCCGATGCTGTGGTTGTGGCTGCTGCTGCTGCTGCTGCTGCTGCTGCCGATGTTGCTGAGGCGCTGCCTCCCACCACCACGACATCGTCGTCATCGAGATCATCGTCTTCGTGGTGACGGTGATGGGCAGATTTATGCCGGGTATTGTCGGTGTCCTCGGCATGGTGCAGGACATCATCGTCCTCATCGTCGTCGTCATCGTCGACGGCAACCACAGCCAGATCGATGCCTTCGCCATTGCTGGCAGCCGAGGCAGCCATTGAGGTAGCTTTGATACCGCTTGCGCTTCCGCTTCCACTTCCACTTCCGCTTCCACTCCCGCTGTTGTTGTTGTTGCTGCTGCTAAAGTTGTTGTTGTTGTTGTTGCTGAGGTTGTTGTTGTTGCTGGTGCTGGTGCCACTCTGCTGCTCTGGTGTCGCCGCACTAGCAACACTCTTTTGCTCCACGGCTCCAGAGGCTGAGGCAGAGCCGGGGCCGGAGGCGGAGGCGGAGGCGTCACGTCTTTGATAGAGATCTAGCGGCATGGGTGTGTCCTCCTCATCGTCCTCGTCATCATCCCCAACATCCTCAATGTCATCGACATCGTCGTCAACATCCTCGCCCACATGCAGGCCCCTCACCATCTGGTCCTCCAGCTCCTCCTCCTCGTCCTCCTCATCGTCCTCGTCATTGATCCTCACGGATCCAGAGACTGTGGAGCGCTTCGCTGGCGTTGGACTGCACCGATCGCTCGCCTCCCGCTTGTGGCTGGCTGTGGACGAGGATGTGGCTTCTTCGGCAGGCGTTGTGGCAGATGTTGTGGCAGATACCGCTGACGCTGCTGTTGATGATGCTGCTGCTGCTGTGGCAGATGTTGCTGTTGTACTACTACTGCCACTGCCACTGCCACTGCCACCGCCACCGCCTGTCGCTGTACTCTCCGCTGAAGCCGCTGCTGTTGCCGCTGTGGCAGATGCCGCTGCCGCTGCTGCTGCTGCTGCTGTCGCTGTTGCTGAGGTTGAGGTGGAGGAGCTGCCACTGCCACTGCCGCTGGTGCTGCTGCTGCTGCTGGTGGCCGCTGATGCCGCTGCTGCTGAGGTCGCCGCCGAAGCCGCATCGAGGGCTGCCGCCGGACTGTCGGCCGCTTTGTGGGCGCCACCGCCACTGCCGCCGCCGCTAGCCTGCGAGTGGGGACGCAGTCGGTCGGGTTCCCGTTCCGGTTCCCGCAGCGTTGTATTCTGGTTTGTCATCTCGGCAAGACCCTTGACCTGCGGAAGGAGTACGATTAGAGGGACATTCCAACGAGTGCCCTGCGTGGCATGTACTCACCTTGAGTGATTCGGCTGTCTTGAGCAGTGCGGACAACTGACAGTATTGCACGTTCACCTCGCCCTTGTACATGAATTCAACTAAGGTTTGCAGCTCGGCAAAACGGACGTCCTTCAATATCACAATTGGATGTCTTTCGGGGTGCTCCAGGAACAGGCTCTGGAAGTACGAGGAACAAGCCGAGAGGACCACCTGCACGGACAAAGAAGGCAATACAGAAATTAGAAATTGTTCCAAAAACTAGGAAAACTAAGAGCTACAACTATAGACAGAAGCGGCAGATAAATGGGGGGGGGGCTTTTGTGGGACAAAGCCACGCACTGGAGTGCTTTTTGCTGCCACAAAGAGCCCCATCCTTGGACAGATACACAGATTAACCAGATGAATAGATTGATTATGAAACGAATAACATTTCATGGGATATCTCCTGTGAAATTTGGATTTTTCTCCTACCCCCACTCCCAGAACAGAAAGAAATGTACATTTCCTCCATTCGCTCAGCGTTGTGGGGCACGATGCACGTTGCCCACTCCTGGGCTGTGGACCAGGCATTTATTAGATTTACGATCTGGCTCTCAAAATGCAGCCAAACGGCCGCCGCTTTGAAGATGCCCCAAACGAACGATGCCCCATGGGCAGCCAGCCAGTCAGCGAGGAAGAGGTGGCAGCGGCAGCGGCAGTGGCATCGGCGGCGGCGGCGGCGGCGACAGCGGCAGCGGCAGAGATGCAGTTCGATTCAGTTTGAGTTCAATTTGGAGTCCAGTTTTGCCAGTTGGCTGCGGGCGTCAAGGCGTGAACATGCCACGAATGACAATGCCGCCTGCCACAGCAGCAGCACCACCAACACCAAACAGGAGAAGACGAAGGAGAGGCATCCACATCCACATCCCGGTTACTGGTAAGGTAACTGGCAACCAGTTCGTTCGTTCGTTCGGTTCGGCATTTGCTGTCGATTTTTATGTGCGCATGCACGCCTTGGGGTATGCAATGATCGCGAGATATCCACGGACCACGGACCACGGACCACGGACTAGGTGCAGCCCCAGCCCCAGCCCCAGCCTCTCTCTCTCTCTCTCCAGCACTCTCGTACAAGCATCTGTGGGATGGGATGAGTTGAATGGTTGGGGCACAAGGGGCATGGCCACTGCATCGATGTTGTAAATTTTCATTGCTGGCAAATTGAAAAGGCGTCGGCCTCCATTTCGCATATAGATTTCGCTATAGCCTAATGAGGTTTTGGCCTCGAACGGGCCCTGGAGATGGCCACGTGAGAGGAGAGGCAAGACATCATCTCGGGAATCCTCTGAATGATCATTTTGGAAACGGGAATCCATCATAGAACCACTGGCAACAGTCCCCTGGTATCGCTAGCAAGTGACTAAACCATTTATGATCCCATCTCATATATGATCTCATTGATCTCAGGCTGCACAAAATGATTGCTCGAAGTGTGAATCAGTGAAGCTCGTGGCGGTTTAACGATACTCACGATCGCCAAAGCCAAAGCCCACATACATAAAAATCTCAAAATCATGATCTCTCTGTTGAATGGCTCTTCAAAACTACGATTTTCGTGATGTGGGGAGGCTCTTTTTCAATTTGTAAAGCAGTTCAAACGAGATTCAAGCATCGACATGACATGTATGTTGTTTTCGCAGCTTTCGTGAATTCTCTGCGTCCTGAGGCGAACATCAATTGGTGTCAAAGCCATCAAAACAGGAAAATGTTCTCTTGAATGTATCCTGTCGCTTATGGGCACATTTGTACCTCAAATCAACGTTCAGGGCAATTCCAGCGATGGTTTCTCTTCAGATAAATAAAGAAAGGGTCTGTGGAAAGGGGTTAGGTCTGGACAACACGAAATGACGCATGCCGCAGTGTACACACGCTGCCATCCCTAGGTAAATGTGCCACCAACTGCTCCTTGGACCGCTCCTTCCATCCCGACTCACTCATGCCGCAGCTGCCGCCGCCGCCGCCGCCGCCGCCTCCTTCCTCGCGGAGCAACTGCAACTGCATCTCGGCGTCTCCTGTCACGCGCCGTTTGCGCTAGAATTTATTTAAAAAAATGCAATCGGCCTGCACACGCCCCCGAATTGCAACAACAGCGTAAAATGAGCGTTAATAAATTCACGCGCATATTAGAAGTCAGAGACGTTGGTGCGGCCGGGTGGCGGGGAGTTGCTGCTGGAGCAGCTCCAGAGTCCAGTATTTGTTGCACTCCCTCTACCACTCCACTCTACTCTACTCCACTTCACTTCACTTCACTGCAGTCCACTTCGCTGCGTACCCCCCTCGCTTCCCCCCCCCTTCTCTCGTATGGTGGCATTAAGAAAATCGAATTTCCTGATTACAAGAAAAAGAGAGAAGGCCTCCTCCAAGCAGGCGGAGGAGCGGCGCAGGGAGAGCACTGGCGCAGGGTGGAGGAGGCGTCGCAAATTGGCAACACTTTTAATTGAACGCCGCTGTCGCGCCACTGCTGCTTCCACTGATGCTGCTGCCACTGCTGCTGCTCCTTCTGTTGGCAGCACGCCCCCAAAGCTAATGAACGCCAAAGGCTTTGATTCCCAACGCTTTCTCCCTGCTCCTGCTCCTGCTCCTGCTACTCCCAGCTGCTGCTCTCCTTGCAAAATGTTGCATGTAATTTGCGGCAAAATAGTCAACAACATAAATTTGCTGACATTCGGACAGGGATTGGGGGCGCGAGAGTCGCGTTAACCGATCGCATGTCCCGAGTGGGCGTCAACATTCCACCCAAAATTTAAGCAGCACCAAAACGACGATGAAGTGAAAAATTAAACTAAATGAACCGCTAGTACGTATACTAGCGACAGCCGCCCATCCCCCTCCCTCTCTCTCTCTCCCTCTCTCTCTCTATACAATCTTATGGGATATCTCCTTAGGCACTTGAAAATGGTATAATCCTACAGGTATATGTAGATCCTTCCATGGATCTATTTCCACATCAGTTGTAATGGAGAGAAATTTTCATTAAAAATCCTTCAACTTCCATTGAGATGATAGATTTTCTCTTTTAAACTCGATAAACTATAACGAAAACACTGTTTGGAAGTCCCGGCAGCCACTCCTCCTTGGCTCCTCGGCCTTTGCCTCTACTGTTGCCTCTTCCACGGCTGTTGCTAACATTTCTATTATGAGGGGGGAGGGTGCACCGGGCACTCCCTTTTATAGATATTTTGTGGCTTGACCACCATCAGAGAGGCACAACAATAACAACAAACCAAACACTGCGGCGAAATATGCAAATTATTATGTTTGCATATCGCCGCCTTTCGCCATAGGTTCTTCTTCTTTGGATACCCTACTTTACCCGAGGATGGCATTCGAAATTTGTTGAGATATTTGCCAGGCACGAAATTGGGAAAGTCTGGGAACTACAGAGCTCGTATCCATTGCGATTCCATATCGGAATAGTCCGTGATTTCTGCAGTAGTGCCTCTGAAGACCTCTCTCCCTTTCTCTCTCTCTCTCTCTCTCTCTCTCTCTCTCTGTGTCTCTCTGGAGAATCGCATCATATAATCTTTAGCAGACAGGGTACTTAGACTTCGGTGCATTTCAATATGAGATTTCTGCTGCATTCTTCTTCTGTTGTTCTTCTTGCTGCAAGCAACCATTCTGTTTGTGGCGCTTGCGGCTCTTTTTTTGTTGCAGTTCTTGTTGTTGCTTATTCTTCTTTCATTCTTCTTCGACTCACATTTATGTCTTAATACAATTTTAAGTCTTTGGCTAGAAATCATCATCATCCATGGACGATCGATCATTCGACGGGAGGATCTGCATCTGATCGATCTGCCTCCCACTCCACCACCACCGCAGCTCTCCAGCCCCCACTATTCTGGACAATTTGCAACAACTGTGCAAACATTGTGATTAGGTTCTATTTTTTGCTCAATTTGTTCGCCCGCATCTCGCATAATGTGAGTAAATTTATATAATTTTCCTTGATCGACTATCCGTCGGTCGATTGTTATGTAATTTAATTTTATTGATTTTTCCCCCAATGAAAGGATGGGTAGGGATCCACCATGTCTCTGATTTTTCATCCATTTGGATTGGGTGGGGGAGGGGGGGTCGATTAATTGTAGGGATATTAATTGGGAATTTAAGATGATCGATCGATATTGATTATGGGGCTAGAACATAGACAATATCCATACTCGTTTGTGGACATTATGTCTTTGGAAAGATGAAATGCACTTCAAAATTATTCTTGAATATTTCCTTAAACTTTCAAATATCTGAAATGAACATTCAAATATATGTACATCATGTTCCATTTTCGGATCCTTACATTAATAATAATATAATGCCGCATCATCTGCTTCCCATAACATTCTCTGAAGCTGATTAATGGCCAAGAAACTCGAAACTTGGTAGACAAATAATAATGTAGCGAAAAAAGGGGGGTTGGGGAATGGGTTAAAAAAAATGGGGAAAAATACAAATTTATTTCAAAATATGGCATTTCTAATTTAACAACTGCGCTTCAAAAGTTGCGTTTTTTTTCTATTTTCTGCTGCCTCTGTCTTTCATTCGCATGCGACGATGCGGACGCGAACGCAGACGTAATTTATATACCCTTGGCAGAGGGTACTATTAGTTTCTGATGACTTTTATACACTCTTCTGTATATGTCCAAAAATACCTCAAAAATGGGTACAACTTTATCGTATAGGTTTCTAAGATATAATCGATCTGTAGGGTATCAGCATCATCGACCCCCGAAAGCTTCCCATCCGCTCTTGTCTTCTCATGATTTCTTGGAGCTTATTTCTGTGTTTGAAGAAGGGCAGGTAGGGGGGCGAGAGAGAGAGAGAAGATACGATGAAGTGTAGAGCAGCGTAGACGTTGACGTTGGCGGGGGCAGCAGCAGCGGCAGCACACGTTGACCTTGATATTCGCATTCGCAGCGGAACCGAAACACACTCTCGATGTGCATGTGTGCATGTTTCTGCGTGTGTGTGAGGCGTGCAAAGCATTAAGCAGAAAAGCAGCGACGCACGCAACGCAGCGACAGCTTTGCTTTGAAAGCTTCTCTGCCGCCGCCGCCGCCGCCGCCGCCGCGACAGGCAGAGCAGACCTGGCGATTGCGGGTGTTTTAATGCCAGAAAACGAAAAAGAGCGAGAGAGAGGGGAGGGCTGGCTGGCTGGCAGACGATAAGCAGTGCAAA